ATCCCGTGTGGAGAAGGCTTCAAATGCCAGTTCAGTGGACTCTGTTTGCGGTGCAAAGTGATTTGCCATTATAGCACCACCCACAAAGTTCTGGTCCCCACCGACACCCCCACACCACATGGACTTCCCCTCGGGACCGCTGTCTTTGGCACTTTGATCATTTGCCATTTGCCTGTTTGCGTTTTAATTAACTTACACCGGCTTAATGAACTTTCCAGACCTTTAGAGCTCCGAACCCAATCCGAAAGAGGCTGCTTATTAGCTCTTGACATGGTTCCATCGTGGCCATCTCATTGTGTTGCGTTCCGGATATTTACTGGGCCATTCGCAGCTGTAATTGTCGTTGCGGCCATTCGATCGGATGGCCAACACCTTGGTCATAGGGCTTAGGCCACCTCGTAAGCTGCTTAACCGCTGAGCTCTTGATTTCCAAATGAAGTCGTTCGATGGGGATAGGCAGATACAGCTAAGGGAGGCTTAGCATCTTGAATATATGACATTCAGACAGCTATTTTAAGTACCCAAAAATCTTCGCTCCTTGGGAATCATTTAATATATATTTTTAGAAAAATGTGGTATAATATTCCTTAGCTTTTATAAGGTTTGTAAATATTTATAACTCATAAATTAAAATGTCATTAAGGTCTGTTAGGGTCACAATTTCCTAGCTTGGCTGCACAACAAATCCATAAAATCATTTATGTAATTGAGCCAGGAATTTGCCAGGTTCTGCCATTAACAGCAACTTTGCTGAAAATTCCAACAAAACAGAGGAAACGAAATACAATTTTCATTAATTTCATCAATTGAATTTGTATTTTCCCGTCGGCGGGATTAATGGTTTTTCGTTTAATTTTCCCGGGAAAATCGGCACTTAAAATATAAAAAGAGGGCTCGAGGGATGTCAATTTTTTCGACAGCTTTTCCTGTTTCCACTGGGCTGTCAAATATTTGATTTGGCCTTGGCCTAAGCTTTTTTGAAGACCACTTGAAATGAAATGCCCCTCGACACGAAAGCGTTTGAATTAAACCATTGGGCATTCGAGTGGAATTTTAAGATTAGTGGACTGGAGATGGACTCGGCTAATTGGGCAGCTTATTAAAGCCTCCCCAACTGTAGTAAACTGGCCCCTTAGTCATTGAACTTGAAGTTGGTCTGAACTTTGTGTAGAGGGAAACAGCTGCTGGCTGGAAAAACTTTTCGCCCACTTACGCCCCAAGTTGTAGCCCCATAAATTTCCATATTAGAGAGCAGCAGGCCAGGAAGCTGAGCAAACATGGTTGATCCAATTAACTGACTAAGAAACACTTAGTTCGAAAGTTTAGCCCATTGCTTTGAGGCCTGAAAGTTGCCTACTCGATCCATTCTTCAGGGGAATCCTTCCAGCGAGTCCTGGCACTTACACACCCACACATGTCCTCCATTTCATTGTCCTGCGGTCGCTGCAAACGAAGTGGGATTGCGGGGCTTTTGACGAGACAATCTGTATTCATTGCCACTTTAATATTTAGCGATGCGTAAGTCGCCGTCAGTCACTTCACAATAAAGTGATTTCTCCCCCATCCTGGTTGTGTGTATATTTTTCACAATTTTTTCCCAGTGATTTTAAGTGCAATAATTTGCATTGCAACTGACACGATATCACTGTGAAGTGCAGTGCTTCCCGGCGGCACTCACCGCCAATTGACGAAACAAACACGCTAGTTGAACATGGCAGAAAAAACGAGTGAATTTAAATTGCCAGAGAGCTATTTGAATTAACACTTCCGAGAATATACAGAATAATTGGCGCATTTTTATCGTACTCACAAAGAAATACAAATCGATTTTTGTGTCTGTTTGGGAAATAAAAGAAAATGCTGGTCGTTAAATGTGCTTATGCTTTAAATTTGTATTTTTGTTAATTAAGCAAACACACAACGGTCTTAAAGATTTATTTATATAATTATTATACACTAATTACTTCTCTCTCATAGCTGTTTTTGGTCATTTTGAAAATGTTATTTTAAATATTTACTTAAAGTTTAAATCATACGTATTCTCCACAAATGTAATCCTCACTTTCTGTAAAAAATGTCAAACTTGCGATCCCTTTTTTAATCCTTTGACAGGACACCCCTCGTCTTTGCATTGCAACTCATTAAAAATGTTAAAGGGGCAACAACAAAGCCAAACAAACGGCAAACGAGGAAAAGGAGACGAGGAAAAGCGGTGGAAAATCAGGGAAAGATGCCAGGGCAAATGGAGGAAAAGGAAAATCCGCGAATGAGTCAAGGTGAACACACTCACTTTGGCCCACAGATCCGTTTTGGCAAGCAAATGAAGCCGGGCTCCGGACCTTCGGAAGACACCCCCACCCCCAGGAAAACCCTCTCAACCAACCAACACACACATCCACCCACCTTACCGAATGCATTTCCTCTAGACTTTTCCCTCGCTTCCTTTGTTTATTTGCTCAGTGCGTTTTCACTTGACTGCATTGCCTTGCGTGGGTCGGAAAAGCGGGAAAAATCGTGGGGTTGGGGCAATGGAAAATCGGGACTCGGTGGGGGAAAAATGCAATAAGTCACCGATTGGCGACAGGCTGCACAAATGTGTGGCCTAGTGCGAAAAAAACGCGTTGCGTGCATAAAAAAATGGGTTACCAGTGCAAGGCTGCCCCAGGCATATTACGTATACGTACGTATACGTATTACAGTTGCCCAGCGTAATGGAAAGCCATAAAAACGATTTATGGCAGTGGAAAAGAGATGGCAACAGGGCACTGAGGGTTAATCAAGGTCAACCCCCTGGGATGACTCTTAACACCTTTGTTTTTTTTGAAAGAACTGCTTGGCTATTGAAATGTACATTTAAAGAACTCCACCTTTTATCCAATCACATCATAGTCATATTAAAAATAAGTACATTAAGGTTACGAAATCACTTTTAAATGTTAATTCAGGTGATTAAAAGTATGCTGTGTTCAAAGGATAGTCCACTTTCTGAATGAATTCATTGTTCTTGTGAAAATAAAATATATTGTAGCATACTTTTAGGCACCTAAAATAAAATTTATAACTGATTTCAAAAACCTAGTGATTATTTTATTCAAATACTCTAAATTTTGTGTAGAAGGTAGTTCAAAGTCTATTACAGTTCATCAGTGTATCTTGCCCTTATCTTTCTGCCCCTGAATTGATTGACTTTGGGGATTTGCAGATATCATTAGCTGTCCCACATGACATTTGTGTTCGTCCCAGTCTGATTTAGCCATTTATATTCACATTTCCAGCCCATCCTTGGATTCTGCTGGGGTTGGGCAGCAATTAATCGTTGAAAGGATTACACGCCCCCTCAGAGGAACTCCACTCTCATCTGCCCACTTAAGTGATGCTAATTTATGGCCCCGGCACATCTTGTTTGTTTGGTCGTCTCCCCTGAATGAGCTCTTCCCCAGGGACTTTTTCCCTGACTTTGCTCGTTTGCCGCTCGGTTTGTCCGGTGCCATTTTCGTCAGGGGTTTTGCGGTAAGTTTTTAAGCCGAGATTAGGGGGCATTGTTGCCAGTTTTGTCCACCGTTGTCGGCGGCTTGTTGTTTGCATTTCAATTGGACAAACAAAAAAGCGGAAAATAATATCAGCTTATATGGTACTTAAAGATATTAAGAGATATCATGGTTTGTCAAAGCATATCAATTGATCATGACCATGTAAATTGATATAATGGTTTTGCGTTTTTAAGATATTTAAATCCATAGTACCTTTCTTAAAGCATTGCTAAGAATATCTTAAATTCCTAAAAAAGCGGAAAATAATATCAGCTTATATGGTACTTAAAGATATTAAAAGATATCATGGTTTGTCGAAGCATATCAATTGAATATGACCATGTAAATTGATATAAGGTTTTTGGATTTGTTTAATATTTATATCCATAGTACCTTTCCTAAACTTTTACTTAGAATATCTTAAATTCCTTAGTTTAACTTAAGGGTAACCGTATGAGTTTCACCCCAATTTTAAACCAAGCGAATTAGGTACTTCCGCCGCTATCATCTTTCTGCCCTAATGAAAGGCATTGAAACAGGTCAAAGGACACCTTTGTCCCTGCCATTTGCATCCTGTTTTCCATCCCATCAATTGCAGCCGATTGTTATTGTTGTTATGGTGGCGACACCAAATTGCAACCGCATCCGAATCCAACCGACTAATCAACGTGTGACTCGCACACTAATGAACTACGGCCGCCAATTAGCCAATGGCCACGCCCACCGCCTGCCCTTTGACCTCCGCGATTGACCGCACAAGATTGAGTGGCGCTGACCTGCCGAACAACACGGTTGACCCATCGCTATCCATTTAATGGCCTCAAATGTCATTAGTCAAAGGAGAGCGCATCTCCTTTGTGAAATCCTTGAAATGCTCTATTGTCATGACATACAGGAGATCTCCAATAATACCCTTGTCTTTGTTGCTAAACTATTCCGCTTGAATGTTTGATTGTTACTGGGTTCTGGTTGAGATTATTCTCGGGGTTTCACAGCCTGTCAATTTCTCAGGCTAATTTAAACGCTTAATTAATGCGTACTGTAAATAATTTAGTTGGTTTAGTTGCTTCTTGTTTATTAACTCTTAGGATAGATATTTGTTTTTATAAATATAGGTAAAAGGTATTCAGGAGTGCCACAGAAATCACTCGGGTTTTAAAATCACTTTTTTTTTAACTTTAGGTGTCTAAAATTATGCAACGAAATGTGTTAAGCTCAAAATAACAATGAGTTCATTCAGAAAGACATATTTTCATTATTCTCTGCATACTTTTGGGCACTTAAAACTAATTTCAAAACACTAGTGATTTGTGAGGCACCCCCATTATAATTCGTTTTTTAAATAAGTGTAAAAAATGCACCTTAATTAACCAAGACGAAACCGAAACGCCTAAGCAAAACCGATTATCTTCGGATTAGTTGAGATTTGCTAAGAAGCCAAGACTCCATCCAAATCCAGCTAAAATCATAATGTTGGTATGGTCTTGCATTGTGTTGATCTTATTTGCACGGAGCTCTAACGGAATTCACAACGGAGTCGATGCGAAATTCGATTTTTGGACCTTCATTGCCTCTGTGTCGATTAATGGATATCAACAGTGCGGTGGAACTGTTATCGATGATCGAATTATACTCACCGCTGCCCAGTGCGTAAAGGGTATTCCAGTGAATAATATTACCGTGCGAGTGGGCTCGGCATTTGTTAATAAAGGTGGCGAGATCATCAAAGTAAATGCGATGGTGGTTCATGAGAAATATGAGGAGTATGTGGAGAGCGACGACATTGCACTGCTATGGCTCAGGACATCTGCGTTATCCAGGAGAGTGACCAAAATACCACTGGCCACTATCGAACCCGCTCCCAACGATTATCCCAGCAACGCAGGATGGGGCGAGAAATCACTGGAGTCCGACGTCCTGCCCAAAAGACTGCAGAATGGAGTCACTAAAATCCATGAGCGAAAGGTGTGCATTCAGGAGCTGATTCAACCAATTGGCCCACAACTACTCTGCGCATTTTATACCCAAAACGACATTTGTCCCGGCGACTATGGAGGTCCCTTGATCCTGGCCAACAAACTGGTCGGCATCGCAGTCACAGGACATGGCTGCGGATATGTCGGTCTGCCATCCCTCTACACGAACGTCTTCCACTACCTAAAATGGATTGATCAGAACTCAAAGAAGCTTAAGAAAAATAAATGAAAATACAACTATCAAGCATAGATCTTTATTTTAAGGTAGTATTTCGGTCTGAAGATTAAGAAGTAAACTGAAAATTTGGTTAGTAATGGGCTTACATTATTATATTATTCACGTATTTCTAAGTTTAATGCTATGTAGAGAATGTATTTAAGTCTGGGAATAATAAATACCATTTATTTAATATCCGAAAACTTCAAGAAATTAAGAATTTCAAATAATAAAACAAGAAACATTTAATATCAGCCTTTTAAAAGCATACATAGCATACATTTATTGGTTTCTTTTGTGAAGGAGTTTAAGCTAACAATTTGGTAGATATACCATTCGTAAATATTTGTATATATCTACCATTTCATAGCACTTCTTTATCTGAGTAAAAGCTGTCTGTCAGCATATCATACATTTGCACACGTTGCATATACGCTGTAAAAACCACTAAAGTTACAGCTAAAATAAGTGATTAGTTCATAAATTTACTATATCACTCACCTGCCACCAAGGAGCCTATAATGACGAGCTTGGATATAAGACCGCTTCTTTTGGTCTTTTTTTGTTCCTGAGAAGCCGCCAACATCTTTGGACAATTTGGACAAAGTGCTCTTAAGTGCAGACCTCCTTCTATATTTATCTTGACCTTTCTAGATAGAGAACCCAGGCTAGAATTAGCTAGTAAAAGGGGTTTAGCCTCCAGATGAACGGATAGGCTTTTTGTGGAAATATTGCTACGGGAAGCCTCACGAAAAATCGACTGAATTGTCTGGCCATTTAAATGATGCCGAGGAGCATACATAAAATGGATAGAAAATAGATGATTGTAATCTAGATCCTCGTGAAAATCCAAGTCCTTCAGACTAATGCTGACCTCGATGAAGGTATAAGGTTCTATTTTGCCTGCATTGGGTACCACGGTATAGTGCCGCCAGACTTTTGATTTTATCTGGAAAAGATAATTGATAATTTCAAGGATATAATTTATGTTTAGTGCATCTCACTTTGAACAAAACCTGCCTATTGGTGGGATTCAGCAGAGTCACTATCCTCCTTTGACTTCGATCATATGGGGCATAAAAAGTCAGAACTTGAGGACTCACGCAAAGCATTCTACCCCTCTAAAATCCCCCCTTTCAATTGATTTTGACTTGTGCTGGCTTGCCTATTTCTTTTTTTCTGTTTCAAAAGCAACCGAAATGTGTCGGAAATATGCCAGAAATCGGAATGTTTCTGACAGCATTTGCATATGCTGCCCATCGATCCGAGTGCAGTGCATGTTTTTGCATTTATTGCCACCAGATGCCATGCCACACCCAAAATCCTCCCAAAAATGTTACCCACCGAATCGCTGACCACTGCTGGAGGCATCATCGCGCATTAGCATTAGGCACTTTCCATGTTTTCGGGGCCGGCGCTTTGAAATTATTTGCAATCCATTGCACTTGTTCTGGGCAGCCAGAACAGCTACAGCGATTCCGATTCCAAAATCCTATTCCCATTCCCAATCCCACAACCGAATGGATGATGAACTCAGCTGTCCAGTTGCCTTTTTGGGTCATTCATTTCCCTGCGGAGTACTGAGTACGGAGTACCGAGTCTGGTGAACAATTGATGATGCCATATGTGGGGAGCGCTCTGGATAAATAATGGCATTGGGGGCGTATAGATTGATTCACCGAATCAATTCACTAGATGCATTTTTTTGGTTATTTTAAAATTTAAAAGAATGAGATAATTTTTGGTGTAGAAATATTACCAGCATCATTAAAATTTAACTTTCTGGTAAGGATCAAATATGCTTACTATATTATAACACAGATATTCGCTAGCAACTCTATTTAAAATCTATTTAATGGTAGACCTCTATAGACTAATTCTAGGCTTCTTTTCAATCTTATCTTATCTTTGCCATATTGTTCTTTAAAATACACAATAAAACATATTCTCCTTGGGGTTGCAACATTCATTTATTTAAAACACACTTTCACCTGTCTATGATTGATTTGCTTTCTGGATTATTCTTCCCCTTTCATCTTTTCAGTTGGTTTCATCTCATTTTTATTTTTCTTGAGCTACCCATTGACAATATCGTGTATAAGCTCCTTATAGTTGACCAATCCCTGTTCGTTGATCCTGCCCTTCAGGAGTTCATCGACCTCAAATGCACTCATTCGCTCACCGCACTGGGTTAATAGACGCCGGATTCTGATGGCGGGCAAGAAACCGGAGTTATCCGTATCGAAGATGCTCAGGCTGTATGTTAAGTGCTCCTCCTCGATCAGCTTTCTCTTGGGACTGGAACTGCCCCCATGTTTGCCCAGACTGCCGTAGATGGTCATCACCTCATCGAAGGAAATGCGATCCATGGTGGAGGCCCGATACTTCCGGACATGATGGTTGACCATCGCCTCGGTGGGATTGGCACCCATCACGCGGAGACAGTCGCCCAGGTGGCGGATGGATATCTTATTGTCGCCACGAGTGTCGTGGCCCAGGAATATGGCATGCATCTCTAGAATGTGGCTTTTATCCGGCTTTGGGTTAGGCGGCGGTGCTGTCATGTTGCTCATCATCTTCTGATTGCAGCCTGGTTGCTTTGATGATGGATGAATTGATGATGGGTGGGGTTGATTGCCTTTCTCGGACATCGTTGGGGTGTTTGGGTCTACGGTTTCCGGTCACGGCTTATGGATTACGGAGTGCGGAATGGAAGGGTGCCAGCTATATTCGTATGTTGGCTGTTAAATGACCCACATGGTTCTGGGCAAACGAGAAACAATGATTGGAAGACACAGAAATATGATTATGCCGGACATGCTGACAGGTGAAAGACAACTGACTTGATCCAGATTTAATTTACAAATGTCAGAAGATGATTGAGTAGAACAAAATGTTTCGAAACTGCCGAAGGAAATTCTCAGAAATGTAAATAAAATAATTAATAAATGAAATAAAAAAAAATAATAATAATAAATACAAAGCTAAAATCCATATGTTTAATATTTTATGGTTTGTTATATTTATTTATCGCTTATAATTTCCTGTAAGCCAGCGAGGTATTGCATTTTTTCTCTGAATACCAAACCAGTCTGTCTGAATTATCTGTTAGTTATTGTTTAAGTGATTATTAGCCAACGACGTTGGATAATCTCCATAACATTACTATTTTAATGGTTTTTCTAGTCACTGAGCCAATAACTGTTACATTGTACAATGATTTATAGATCTCGTAAAAGCAACGACTTTTTCAACTGGTATAAAAAGAGGAACTAACTCTACAATAGAGACACACCGTTTCGACTTGTCTTGAATAGCACAACCAACTAAAATTAGTTCGATATGTTGTTAAAGTCTCTGACCCTGCTGCTTGGGAGTACCCTACTATGTGAAGGATCGGTTTCCCAACCAGATCACCGGATCATCGGAGGTTTTCCTGTAACCGTTGAAACCGTTCCTTGGCAAGTGTACCTAAAAATAAAAGTAACCAACGATTTTGGTGAAGACGGATACAAATTTTGCGGTGGAGTGATCTACAAGGAGGACATAATTTTAACAGCCGCTCACTGTATTGTAAACATTGCAGCCGATGATATATCAGTGTACTTTGGATCTTCGAAAAATGCTTCTGGTGAATTGGTAAAGGTGTCTAAGGCAGTTAGCCACGAAGATTATAATGGAGTCAACTACAGTTATGCCAATGATATAGCTGTGCTCGTCTTGAGTTCCCCAATTCCTATAGGACATAATGCTACTACCATCGAGATGGCTGATGAAACACCTGAAGCAGGAACAGAGGCATTAATCACTGGCTGGGGAGATACGGATGCGAATGATACTGATTCTTCGTCAAATACCTTGCAGGGGACATTTGTTACAATCCATGATCAGCAGAGTTGCAGAGAAATATATTCTATTGCGGATTATTTTATTACCGATAGCATGATATGTGTTAACAACAACGGAACAGGAGTGTGCAAAGGTGACTCTGGAGGGCCTTTGGTTAACTTAAATGGCAAGCTTATTGGTCTTGCTTCCTGGCATCTTGGTTGTGATAAACCATATGTTCCTGATATCTACACTAATGTTGTAGTGTTCAAGGACTGGATCCTGAGTGCAGCTAATATTAAAGTTTAATGCGTTATAACTAAATAAAAGTGTTCCAAAAGCAAATTGCATTCCAGTTTATTAATATTTCATGTGTGGGTGTTGACCATTTTAAATGTTAAGGCAAACAAATATACTTGGCACATTTTTATACCCTAGCAGAGGGTACCATGATTTCAGTCAGAAGTTTGCAACGTAGGGAAGGAGACGTTCCCGACCCCATAAAGTATAAAAAATTATATCTTTGGTGTTTTTTAACATATAACCTCCTTTGCTTGGGAATAACATTTCTTGATTAGTTCTGAATTTTAAATTTTATTGTATCAAAATCGGACGACTATATCATATAACTCACATAGGATCGATCGGATAGTTGGTGGGAAAATAATATGAAACAAATCATAGCTTCGGTGTTTTTGACATATTATCTTCTGCTATTGGGAATATAATTTTTTGTATTTTTAAGAAATTTGAATTAAATTTAATAATTATAACTGCAAGGGTATACAAACTTCGACTTGCCGAAGCTAACTTCCTTTCTTGTTTAACTTTCTGCTAAATGGACCTAACTTTTACAGGGGTTCCCACAGGAAAATCGATGTCAAAATGAAAAAGAACCAACTTAAAAAATGTAATAGCGATTAATTATTCATAAAAAATTCATAAAAAAAATGTGAAAATTGCAACCAACGTTTTTAAAACAGTTTTAATTCGTAGTTTAATGAAGAAGACAAAATAACTGAGCTGTTCATAAAAATATTTATTCCACATTCCGAGGCATTTTAGTTTTCATAAATATATAACAACTTTTTTCAATGAAATATAAGATTTGTTTTAAGTATTATCAAACATTGTTGTTTGATTGGTCAATTTCAAGGTTTGGTTTACTTTCCAGGCAGCAATTCAAACGGCTTACAGTACTCTCGATCCATGTCTTGAAGAATGCAACATCAGTGAAATGTCCAGGAGTTACACATCGATAGCCTTTAGACACGATGCCAATGAGCCTAAGGGGTTTAAAGGTATACAAAGGTCCTCCAGAATCTCCGTGGCAAGCACCGTCGCCATATGAGGAAGCACAGATAATGTCCTCAGTTACAGCTATAGGCTTGTCTTCAGCCAATAGTTCTGCTAATAAATTGTAGGCCTGTTGGCACTTATTTCGATCTTTGACGGTAACTTCAACGAAACGTAGTTTATCAGGACCTTTGTCACTGGAATTTCTAGATCCCCATCCGCTTACTCCAGCAGGTGTTCCCGCACAAGGAGTACTCTCGGCCAATTCGATATGTTGCGTTAAGTCGTCAAATTTGAGTGGGGAGCTCAGGAGGAGCACTGCGATATCATTAATACCTTCAGGATTAGCGTCCTCGTGGATTATTACTTTTATTACGTCCACCAATTGTCCGCCCGTACTGATAAATCGACCTGTTTGCCGATAACACAGTGTGCTGCAGTCAAGATAATCCTTTCGCTGTATATAACACCACCACACGCTTGAGTCCCATTTCTTAAAAGGGCCACTTGAAAAGGAATGTGACTTTCAACAGGGATTCCATTAACGACACGTTCTTCAGGTCCTTTTATCCATCCAGCAGATACAACACCAAACAGCAATGCGAATGATAAGCACCAAACTATCATTTTTAACTTTTTAGGGTATTACCAGTTCCCCAGAAGAGTTCTCAATACCTTAACTTAAAAAAACCGCACTCTTTTATAGAACCGCCTAAAAGAAAATCAATGTTTTAAAAGTTTATCTACCATTTAACTTGAAGCCAGCTTATCTTGTTTATGTTTTAAAATTTTTCTAGTATGTTTTTTCACTTCCGCATACAGATAAGTGTAATGGAATACCGTGTTTATGGTTTAACATGTCAGAAATTTTAATTACCTTCTCATAATATATGGTACTCATAAGCCCCAGCTGCATGATTTTTTAAAAATAATGTTTTGTAAAATAGTAAAGCAACAAAATTTGACGTTCAGTTGCAAAACCAAGTCCAAAATACTTGAAGTTTTTATTACTTAAACCAATATTATTCAAGGCTAAAAGAACTTACAAATATAATTATATCTTATGCCTAACCCGGATATAATTACGTTCGTATCTTTAAAATATATGAAAACATAAACAAAAGGGGGCGAAATATTGCTCATAGATAAGTAGTCTGATAATGTAGTGATCGACGTTTTTTAGACCACCACTATAAAAGGGGCACCCACTTTTCAGTTGACAAACCGAAGTCCATCTAAACAAGTTCGAGATGTTTCTAAAGAGTTTGATTCTTCTGCTTGCAGTTGCCCTCCTTTCTGCAGGACGAGTTCCTCCAGTGGAAGAAAGGATAGTTTGCGGCTTTCCTCAGGACATCGAAGCAGCTCCCTGGCAAGTGTATGTGAATATCCAGAAACCAAATGGCGATAGAGGTGGATGCGGTGGAGTCATCTATGCAGAAAATATAATTTTAACAGCTGCCCACTGTGTTGATGACCATGAAGCGACTGACATTTCAGTATACTATGGATCATCGATAAAGCTAGAAGGTGATGTCGCAAATGTATCTGATGTTTTAGTTCATGGAGAGTACTATCCGGAGGGGACCAACGGAAATTTTGCAAATGATATAGCTGTGCTCATATTGCGTACAAAAATCCCCCTGGGAAGAAGTGCCTATCCCATCGAGATAGCGGATGAAACCCCTCAACCAGGCAGATGGGCATTAGTCACCGGTTGGGGATCATCAATAGATGATGGCTCACCTGGTGTCTCAGAATTACAGGGAGCCTACGTTCTGATTGAAGACCATCAGAATTGCGAGATAGCCCATAGTGCTAGCCAACCGTCGTGTTCCAATCATAATGCAACTATTACCGATGATATGATATGTTCCAAAGGCATCAATACAGGACCTTGCCGCGGGGACTCTGGTGGGCCTTTGGTCAGTATTCCCGATAACAAGCTTGTTGGAATTGTCTCATGGACCCCTTACTGTGGTCATCCATATTTTCCTGATGTCTACGCTAATGTTGTCGTGCTCGAGAATTGGATCTTGACCGCAGTACAATTTTCTACCATAACACAAGATTAATTTCTTTAAAAGTTGATGTATTCAACGTTACAACTTTGTAAATAAAGTACATTATTGCATTAATACAATTTTATTATTTTGGTTGGGTATGTTATGTTTAAGTTCAAACCACCTTTTTGCTTTTCGTCATGAATATTTTTTAAAAATAACAATTGCCTACCCCGCATTTCTTAAATACCTGAAAAAATAAAGAATACATTTTTGGACTTTTAAAACCATTTTTTAACTTTATCTAATGATTGAGAAGAGGGAACAGGCACTTGACCATTGAAAGGGTTTCTTATTCCCTTAACAATATTATTTAATAATACTGTATTCGGGTTCTTCCAACAATATCTATAACGATGACAGAAAGTACTATATACAACAAAATCTTACAATTTGTAGTCTAAAGTGAGTATTTCTGAGTTCTTGATGTCTCAACTGGTTTGAAAATCACTCTTATATAGTGTTTGCTAATGTCATGGCCTACTATCATGGAATTCTACCAATTAAATTTAATCAAGCTCTTAACTTTCAAACAGCTAATCAGTTGTCAAAGACTTAATACTTTTCTAGAATTTTTCCTATTAAGATATCTATAATGAAATAATACCAAAAGTGTTTTTTAGATTATTAAACAATTGGATAAACGATAAGCTTTAGTTAAGTTGCACAATTTGTAAAAGATGATTAATGGCTTTTTCAGACCACCAACGCAAAACTCCTATAAAAGAAGGCTCCAATTCGCAGACTTTACATTAAGTCTTTATCTACCAGGGAGAAATCATTAAAGAAACAACTTCAATCTGAGAAAATACAACATGATAACCAAGTTCTTAATCATCGTGTCATTTGCTGCCCTCGTGATTTCGTCCAGGATTCCAGAGCCTGAACTAAGGATCGTTGGTGGTGGCGTTGTTCCAATTGAGAAGGCACCCTACCAAGTGGCTATATTGTGGTATGGTATACAAACTTGTGGAGGTGTTATCTACAGCGAAAGGATCGTTCTGACTGCAGCTCGCTGTATAGAGCCCACAGAACTTGATAATTATTCAGTGAGTGTTGGGTCGTCTTTCCCGAGATTCGGTGATCAAGTTGTTAGGATAAGGAAAGCTACAATACATGAGAAATTCTTAAGAAAAAGGAACCAAGTTGATCCCCACGATATTGCTGTGCTCCTTTTGGACTGTTCCCTAAAACTTGGCACGCTACGAGTGAACAGTATTAACTTGGCAACTAAAGTGCCTCAAATTGGAACAGAATGTTTGGTTACTGGATGGGGAGATACAGTTTTTGGCTCCACTTTAGGTGCGCCAGCTTTAAGAGGTGTCAATATCACTATCGTGGATCAGGCGTTATGTCAAAAGGTCTATGGTAGTAAATATGATGCTGAAAAGCAAGTTTGTGCATCGGGACAAAAGAAGGGCTCATGTTCTGGTGATTATGGCGGACCTTTAGTATGTTTTCCGAACCGTGAGCTTGTTGCAATCTTTCAAGGAGGCCTATATTGCGGAGAGCCCGATCTGCCAGGAGTTTATGGAAGTGTGGTCTATTTCAGAGATTGGATCTCTTCCACGATTAGGAGCCTTGAGTGTGAAGAAAGTAAGGAAAGTTTAGAAAAAAACGATGGTAATATGGAAGTCCTTTTTAAACCTGAAGCAAGAAACGTAAATAAAAATGAAATTATAGTTGAAACCTCTCCTAACTATGAAACAGCCAAAGAAAATAAAACTCAAATTAACGTTGAAGCCAATCCTGAGCCTGCGTTAGGTAATGTTAATAATACTGAAAATAATATTCAAATCTTCCCTATACCTAAAATAACAAACGTAAATAAAATTAATATTGTAGTTAAACTCCTCTTAAAACCTGAAATAAGTAACGTAAATAAAAATGAAATTAAAATTAAAAGCAATCCAAAGCCTGGAATAGGTCAAGTTAATAAAAATGAAACTAATATTGATATCTTTCCTAAACCTGAAAAAAGAAACGTAAATAAAAATGAAATTAATGTTGTAACCTCTCCTAAGTATGAAATAGCCAAAGAAAATAAAACCAGTCCTGAGCCTGCGTTAAGTAATGTTAATAATACTGAAAATAATATTCAAATCTTCCCTATACCTAAAATAACAAACGTAAATAAAATTAATATTAAAGTTAAACTCCTCTATACACCTGAAATAAGTAACGTAAATAAAAATGAAATTAAAATTGAAAGCCATCCTAAGCCTGAAATAGGTAACGCTAATAAAAATAAAACTAATATTGAAATCTTACCTAAACCTGAAAAAAGAAACGTAAATAATAATGAAGTTAAAGTTGAAACCTTTCCTAAGCCCGAAATAAGCAAAGTTCATAAAAATGAAAAAAGTATTACAGTTTTCCTAGACCTGAAATAACTAATCCTAAGCCTGAAATAATCAATGAAAATAATATTGAAATTAAAATTGAGCTCCTTTCTAAACCTGAAAAAAGTAATGTAAATAAATCTGAAGTTACAGTTGAAAGCAATCTTAATCCTGAAATAAGTGATGTAAATAAAAATGAAAATAAAACTGAAAACATTCTAAAGCCTGAAGTAAGTAAGGAAAATATAAATGAGAATAACATTAAAGTGACCGATGAGCCACCAATAAATAATTAAAATTAAAACTAAAATGTTATTAAAATTAACTCGAATAAGAATTATTTTTAAATATTTTAAAATGTTAAGTTTATTGCACAAATATACAAATATAAAATGAAAATGAAAATATAATTGAAAACATTCTATAGCATGAAGTAGGTAAGGTAAATATAAATAAGAATAAAGTTAAAGTGACCACTGAGCCAGCAATAAATAATGAAAATTAAAACAAAATTGTAATTAAAATCAACTCGAATAAGAACTATTTTGAATATTTTTAAAATGTTAGGTTTTTATCACAAATATATGAACATAAATCTAAATATTGACTTTTATTTGCTTTCCTTATCATCTTTAATTTTCAAACTTCTTTTGTGGATTTAAGGTTATATTCTGCTGCGAATGCTGCAATTTCGGTCAGATCTGTTCATTTCTTTACTGATTTTGAAGATAGCCTCAGAAAATATTAAAAAATCGGTTAAGCCATTAAATTATGCCACTGAAAATGTATTCCTCTATTCCATGGTTCATCTTTCTACTCTTTTAAACTGAATGCTGTGACAGCACTGTTCTACATCCTGTCACAACTGTTTATTTGATGCTTACGAACTTATCTCGAGTGAATGGTTCCATCCTGCACCGGTCGATAGGTGTATAGGATTGGCATCGATGTCCTGGCCTCCCGAGAGACATCCTTGTGACTTTACCAAGTTATCAACTGGGTTTTTGCTTCGCCCATTGCTCATAATGCACTTTGCATGTAAAATATTTAATTAAATGAAAAATAGCAAAACCCAGAGGAGGAACCTTCCCTTTGGTTACCGCGGCATCCGTGGCATCCGCATCCGCATCCTTACATGCTCGCATCCTGGCGAGGGCCGCAAAAAAAGTTTATTTGTTTCGTGGCTGCCTCAGTCAGTCTTCATTTATTGTAAATGAGTTTGCCCGGACAGGATAGTGGGTTTCGTGGGTGGAAAAAAAAGAAGGGAGGCATACATATATGCATGCGGGCCAAAGGATGCATACTGAATAAGACTGCTCGGCACGCAAATGACATTCCAATTCAATTCCGATTCCCAATGCAAATAATTTGCAGCTGTATGCTATTAATGACGGAATGCTGGTTGGCGAAATGGAGACTATGGCGAATATGTTAATAACATTTCATTTACCGAACACTTTGCCTTTTAATGGCTGCAAATGAAATGGGGTTTCGGCCCTGGATTGAGCATATCCGCAGAGTGCGTATTTTATTTTTATATTTTTTTTTTTTTTTGTAAAATGCAGTTCTAGTCACAGGGGCTCTGGAGGACCACGATGAAGTAATCCTCCTGCGGGCACAGCATCACCTCGTGCTGGAGAGTCCGCAGCCGCAGGAAGGTGAATTCGTTGGTGGCATCCAGGTCCAGGACCACCTGGCGAGCCTTTTCCCGCACAGTTTGCATCACGGCCGCGTAGTGCAAAGTCAGGTTGTATTCCAGGGTAGTCTTTATGGGTATTCCGTCATTGTCCACCACAATTATTCCGATTACGTTCTTAAAGGATTGAAAGCGCTTTAGCAACTCCTCCACTTCAGCGGACATTTTTTGGTAATTATTTCACAGAGTTTTCGATGTAGAAGTGTATGTTAGGGGGTAATGTGTTTGATTTTTACGAATAATAACAGAAAAATAAACGAAATTTCAGGGCATACTTAAAAAAAAGGGGTGCCATTCAGTGTTCGTAAAAATCACAAAAAAATTACATATCAAAAATACTACAATACTTAAAATACTACTACTATACTACTAGTAGTATCAGTATACTAGTAGTAGTACTAGTAGTATTAATAGTATAGGATTAGTAGTATTAATAGTATAGTAGTAGTAGTATTAGTAGTATAGTAGTAGTAGTATTCGTAGTATAGTAGTAGTAGTAGTAGTATAGTAGTGGTATTAGTAGTATAGTAGTAGTATTAGTAGTATAGTAGTAGTATTAGTAGTATAGTAGTAGTACTACTAGCAGCAGTATTAAAAGTAAAAAAATATTAATAATAAATATCGATCACATATTAATGAAAGTTGTCTTCGCTCATACATGATCAAAAAAGGACCATGAGTGTGAAAAATACCAGTATAAATAAAGTCATCCTCTCAAGAATTCGCGGGGCTAACATTTATCTTATCGAGGGCTTTTTAAGCGTCATGAACATAATACAAAATTAAATTAAAAAGAACTTGTAGTTCAAAACAAAGTTCTAAAAAGCTCAAATAATTTAAATGCATAATATTTTTAAAACCAAAAGGTAATTAAATATAGCAATCTTTAGGAAGTACCAATATTAGGAACACATACTTGTAGGTCCCCTATAATTTTTTCCAGTATTATGTCTAGGGGACTTTGAATACGACTGGTTCATTTCATCTGCCAGTTTAACGAGTCGATACAAGTTTTATGATGTTCGGCATAATCCGGGAGCTTCTGGTGCTGTTGTGTCCGTAAATAAGCATTCAAGTTGGCAACAATGCCGGATGTCGGACTGCAAAAGTTTCGCTTTTGTGGATGGCAAAAGTACGGAAAATTAATTGAATGCTGTTGATGCTGCCAATGGCCCTCCCCGGTCGTGCTTTTGGTCCAGATCCTGTTCCAGCTTTTGGTCCTGGTCCACTCGAAATGCAGATGAAATGTTTGCATCAAGTTCGAGGCGGTGCGGAAATTATGCCACTCTTCCGGCTCGACCAGACTTCGGCAGACAAAAGCTGGACTACGGACTTGGGACTGGGGACTCCGGCCGGAGTTGTTATGAAAAAGAGTGTAAAATTGTTCACTTTTTAAATTAATTAAAAGTCTTAAAACTCATAATGAAATTACTCAAACGGGTGGACAGCCAGACAGGATGGACGTGAAAAGGATTCGGATTCGGGCTGTGCACATATATGCAAATTTCTGGCCAGACTTGGGGGAAATTAAACTTATTTTTCGTCTTCTGGCTGGCAAGGAAATTCATTTGGTAATTAAATCAATGTCCATGTGAAAAACCTCAAATGTAATTTGTCATGCAATGCCGGAGAAGTCAAACTGTGGAAAATACTCCATCTAACTTCGTTAAATGGGCGATGGAAATGGGCGGGAAAATGTGGAAAGCGTCTATGCATTTTATTGCACATATTTGTTGAATAAATAGTTAGTTTTGCAGGCTGGGCAAACAGCAAAAAATGGGAAAAAATAAATAGAAATAAAACAAATTGAAGTGCAACAGGAGTCAGAGAGTCCGAATCCTTGATCCTGTTTTGATGTTGATGCTGGCACACGAAACTAAAATATTTACAAATGTTTCTGCAATTTATGCAACCTGCAAACATTCGCTTTTTAGTAGTTACAAAGTCACGGTAAAACAAAAACCCATTTTCATTGTACAATGCAATTTTGCAACTCGAATGGCAATTCGAGTATTTGTTTAAAGAGAAATATGCAGCTGTGTAATTTGATATTTATGAAAACAAGTTTGTCTTGCACTTTTTATAATAATTTAAATGTTTCATTTATGCATAGAATTCGGCCTGCCAATGTCACAAATCACTTTTAATTGGTTTCGGCCTTTCAGACTTTGAACTTTAAAATGCTATTCGTTTCTGCTGCCTCAAAAATAGTTTTCAACTGACATTTAAGCGATTTAAGTCCACGCAAATACATTTTATTTCAATGATATTTGACTCGTTTAATGAATCTGTAATTAATCGCAAATTAATTGATTTTTTTAATAAATATTCCCGGTCATATTTATCATTCATCAGTGGGATATCCTCTGTTTTGTCACCTCTCGCTTCCTGCACTCTGCATTTGCATAACGCCATTGAATAAAGAATAATTTATTAATCAACGAATCATTGGGCATATTTGGCCATTTCTGCAAATATTTCAACAATGCCACAAGGTGATAATGAGATCAACAGAGCCGACATATCGACATACCATCCTGAGAACTCCAATTTAAAGTGGCAAATTCGAGTAAGTGAATTATGAGCCCGAGCAGGTTAATGAGAATCGGATTTCATTTGCAATTAGCAAGGGGCACACGCACTCATTACATTAACATGGCCCCCAGTTTCAGGCCCTCTATGCCGGTTAATTTCGTTCTGGCCAAAATTTAAATTATGATTGAGCATTGCTGTGGCTGTGTACGTGCCAGCTTTGTTCTTAATTGAATTTTAATTAATTGCCGTGTGTGACGGAAAATTCAACGCTGTAAAACAGTTTTAAAGGGCACAATTATAATGCCTGAAGGGAAAAGAAAGTCGGTAAATTAACTCTTATTAAAGCTATTGGGTTCAAGAGTATGCAACGAAAAAAAACGAAATGAATCCATAGGACTCTTGAATTGGAAATATATTGTAGCATACTTTTAGACACCTTTATAAGTGATTTTGCATTAAATTCAAAATATTAAGACTAAAGGGGAAAGAACGTCCCTAAAAATAATCTATTTAAAGCTTTTAGGTACAAAAGTACGCAACGAAATAAAAATATCACAGTGAATCCATAGGACTTTTGAATTGAAAAAATATTGTAGCATACTTTTAGACACCTTTATAAGTGATTTAGCATTCTTTTCGAAACCCAGTTGATTTCTCCCTTGTATATTTAAGCATTGTACTCTCTTGATTTAATTATGTTTTTTATTTTCCTCCCTAACGTGGGGAAATAATTTCCATTGAGAAAGGTTAATCACCAAACTCCCAGAGGGGCTTTGAACCTTTTGAAATAAATCGCACATCGTATTCCTAAATATAGCCTCAATCGCAAGTGAAGTGTGGGATGGGGTAAATACGGCACAAATCCACGAAAATCGCTTCCTACCTACGCTTGCAATCCGATCTGATTTGGGGAGACTTAAGGTTCTTAAACAAAATACTCCTATACTGGGAACCTGGTAAAGTGTGACACTTTGCGTCGCAAAGTCATAAGCAAAAATGTGCCGGGGGAATAACATTTTAAATTAAATATTATAGCGTGGGCCTGTGAAAGGAGCCTCTGGGCAGGATAAATGCGTCAACAGGATACCCCACTGTGTGCTCAAGGATGGCATTTTCCGGGTTCTTGGGGGTGAGAAACTGTTTTGTCTGCACCTGACGCCTTTTTGTTGGGCTTTTCAGTATTTTATTACATCTCTCTGTTTGCATGTGGATGTGGGGTGTATTTTTGGATGAGCCAGCTTTTGGCTTTTGAACCTAACTCAACTTGATAAATGAAATAAACAATATTTGGCACAGAAGTGGCAAGTCTTTAAATATATGGTTATGTTCCTAACAACTTTAATTTCGTTTACTCTTTTTATTTACTGTTATTTTAAATAACTATTTTTATTCATTTCTATCTCTTATCTGCCTTAATTACTTTAATGTCCAGCAGACCCCCAACATTTTCTTATCAAAGTGAAAAACTTCTATCATATTTAACGGAAAAAGGTCAACGATGAATAAAATAGAGAAAAAAATAAAGAAAAAACCTTGACATCACCTTTTTCAATCAACTAAAAAGTGTCTTGTTCGCCACCGACTTTCTCCTTTCTCCGCGGCGCCGACTCAATAAGCCGGCATTTTATTTGCATTTTTTTCGTCACTTGCCCGCCGTCTGTCCCAAAGGCCGTCTGTCGTCATTTCTGCCGCATCGTTGGCTGCTGCCAGTCGAGTTTTTCACTTTGGGCCCCCAAAGATTCTGGAGGAGATGGAGGTGGAGGTGGAGGAGGAGGAAGAGGTGGTGACCCAGTGGGTGGTGGGCAGTGGGCGGAGACAGCAGGCCGGAGCCATCGGCGGCAGCAGATTCATCATCGTCTCAGCACGCGTCTGTCAGGCGCTCTAAGGATACAATAAATGTCTTTCGCGGTCGCCCATCTCGCCGACAGCGTGTCCTTTCCCAATGTGTCCTGATGGCCTTGCTTACACAGGAAAAAAAATACCAATTTGAAATTTCGGTATAAAAAAAATGTAATAGCATTTAAAGTTTGAGATTTTGGTATCACATCTCTTATTTATAATATACCAAAATAGAACCACATTTTGGTGTGTAAAAATCTATTAAATTACATTTAAACACCAATAGAACAGAGACAAATTAGGATCTGTAATATTTTATAAATTTTTTCTGGTATACCTATGGTATCCCTTTTATCCAGGACACCCTGTGGTGTGTGAGTGTTTGAGGTTGAGTGAAATACTCTGTCGGATTAATATGCAGTAGCGCTTTGCATTTATTTTTTGTAGCCTTCTTTGGTTTGTATCGTCATTTTCCGTTGCTGTTGGTTTATTCATTTGCCTTGCCTGTTTTTTCTTCAGTTTTTATATATATTTTTTTTTTTTTTGGTTTTCCCTCTCAGACCTGAGGCTCAGGTGCACTTTGGGGATAACAAATTAAACAACTTTATGCAAGTGGAGCTGAATAAATTGCGTCGGGTCTCAGAATATGGATTCACTTGACATAAGTAGGGTTTTTCCGGGTGGGATTTTATATTTTTTTAGGAATAATATAGGAGGAAAAACGAAAAAAAGCATAATAATATATGGCATGTTAATATTTCTTTACATTTATTTCTCTATTAACCATTACAATTATAAGGTCTATTTCTTAGCCACCTGGCTGTCTGCGCCGTAGACCTCACGGAACTGGGGATACTCAATTTGGCTGATAGACCGTAGCTCCTTGAAGGCCTGGT